AATTAATATTTTTAGACATTAATTAAAAAAACTAAAATTTTAATAATTTTATATTTTTTATGATGACAATAATCACATCTAAATAAATATACAGTAAAATTCAAAGCATTATAAGGTATACTTTCTCCTAATTTTGTCATGTTCAAGAAAAAAAAATCATGATTTGCTCCAGAAGGAATCCATATTGATTCATATTTGACGATATGCGGAAAGAAAACCATCTGTTAAGCCTTCCAAAAACATTCTTTTAAATAAATTTTAAACTAAAAAAAGTAGTAATAAGATGACCAGAGTATTCCCTATCCCTTACTGAACCGGCCCTTCCTCGAAGGAAAAGAACAATTGATCTTCCGCAAATCCTTCCACCAATTTGACCCTCCCGCACTCCAACACTTTTCACAGTGTTCATACCCCTCCTCACATTCCCTTCCATTATTTATTTTTGCTAGCAAAACTCTTTTCCAAGCCCCAATACCTCCTTTAAAATTTTCCATCTCTAATTTCCCCAGTAATGCACAATTAAATAATTCCAAATTCTTCACTTCTGTTCCTCACTAGATCCCTCCTGCATCTACATGTATAAAACTCTCCAAACCACCCACGCAATTTTCCTCAGAGTCCTCACCAATCCATTCCCCCCAAAGAAAACCCCTTTTTTAGATAAATATATTCAAATGACGTTATTTGATACAATAAATTAATTATGACATATAATCTTGTCATATAACTTATTAATTAATATATTTAACTTCTTATTATTTTTTTAATTTTAAAAATTAAATTTATTAACAAATAAATGTGATGTCATACATTAAGAGTTTAAATTTTAAGATCCAGATATCAAAAATTTAATTTATTTAAATACTTAAATACATCACACTAATACCAACCTATGCTATTATTAAAATAAACTAAAGAGGGATTCGTTGCACTAAAACTGATTTGAAACACTCCCACAATAAATAATAATAAAAAAAAGCCTCGTTTTATACGGCTAAAAAAGTGGGATAAAAATCATTTCTAACGAAAAAATTAACTTCTTTTTTTTTGGGCAATGTACTCCTCAAAACCCAGTCTGATTTTTGGCAAGGGTAAAGTAATTTTATATTTTGTGATAAAAAATCATAATTAATGGATTAGGAGCACGTTCAAAAGAACAAGAAATACAGATTAGCCACAGGTTAAGAATCATAAAGAGAACTTTTTAGCCAAATATTGCTTCATTTTACTAGTTGCAATCTGTATTTTTAGGTGATATTTGTTTATAAAATATAAATAATAATTTAAATATTTTTAAATATATAATCTTTATTAAATAATTTTATTTTATAAAAATATTAAAAATATTATTTATATATTATAAAAACATTGCCTAAAAATATATATAGTGATGCAAGACAAATAAAATAAATCAAAAGTAGTTCATAAACAAATACCCTAGCAAACACCACAAGCGCATGAAGAAACAAATATATAATTTTTTTTAATTAGGGAATTTGAGAGGAGGAAAATGAAATTCATGAAATTTTTTTTTTTAACAGGGTTATCAATTTAGGAGTGGGGGAATCAAACCCCAACTTTTAAATTGAAGAGATGCACCTGACAAACTTAATTTATGATCATTGAGTCTTAAGGCGTAAATGCGTAATTCATGAAATTTGAAAATGTAATTTATAAAAACAATAATTTTCACTCAACTAAAAATTATCGCTATTAAGTCCGAACGTGGGGAATCGAAAATACAAGAACAAGAAGCCTAAAGGCGGCGTAAATTTCCAGGTGCAGATGCTCCAAGGATTCAATGTTCATGATTAATGGTTGGTACAAAGAATGACCAGAAGAATTTTTGGCGCTATCGCGGAGGCTAAACGCGATGCAATGAACTTGAACCCATGCTCAAATTAATCATGTCATGTACTTTATGTCATATCATTTATTATTAACTTTTTCATGAACTTTATTGAATTAAATTAACAAATTAGTTCCGTTGTCTATTTTTTAAAAAATTTAACAAATTAGTCATGGGCACATGGTATATAGTCGGTTAAATGTTAATTTTAATTT